CCCAATTTTTGGTACAATAGGTAAACCATGGAAGATGAGGTTGCACCAAGTAGATAGATGCCAAACATGTCAAGCCTCAAAATCACGTGTGCCCGTGAAATAGCAAGAAATAAGGGTACCCCAAGTTGTCCATAGGTGAAGCTTTAGAACCTTTACAGGTCATCAGTTTGAGTTAACCGTGAAAAATGCCCTTAGAATTATATTTGCGTATACATGGGGGCTTTAATTTTTTTTTTTTACAGTTAACTTTATTGCTATCACATAGCGGGCTGATAGTAGCATGTGCAATGTACATATAGTACATTTAGAACAATTTAAATTGAGGTCTATAGATCAGACCAAATAGAGGTACAGCTGATAGGAAGAGAAGGACAGAGGGATTTAGTTCCAAATGGGGGGTCAGTTGGGAGGTATACAATGCTGTATTCGTATTCCTTTACAGGACTGTTACACTCTAATACATTTCCCCTCTTTTGCTGATAGCTGAACCCAGGCCAAGGTCATCTGATACAGAAGACATCAGAAATCCTTCTATATCAACCCACTAGTCTTGTTACGGCATTGCAGCAGGGTGAGTCTGCTACGATGAATGTCACTCTGAGTGCTCCTCCTAAACCTCAGGAAGTAGAAGAAAGGTGTGGGGTCTTGGATCTCTTAAAGCAGTTTGGTGTTCTAAGTCAGGTCTTAAGCCATGTAAAGGGAAGGATTCTCCTTAGGAAGCTCTCCCAGGGGTGATGGCCAAAGTTCAACTCTTTGGTAGGGAGTTGATGTGACAAGAGGAAAGCCCAAAAGCAGATCATATAAAGTCCAGATTTAATTTTAGACTCATATGATAGAGAGCCAATATGTGTCGGTGGTTCAGAGGGCCCCCCTTTATCAGGGCTTGGTAATCCTGAACAAAATGTGTACTGTACTGATGAAATTCAACGGATCCTTAGGGGTCATTGGTATGGTGATCTCTCCCCATGCAGGAATGGGTGTGGTCCATTCATTGGACTTTATATGTTCTGCTTTTGGCATTGTGCACCCATTCTCTTCCTAAACATGGCAACCTTTCACTTTGGGGTAGCTGAATGGAGGTGGATTAAATACCAGGATTACAAGAACCTCTATTGTATTTGCAGCTTTAATCTTAGACAATGCAGCACAGGGCTGATAACTGGTTCTCTATCCAGGCTACCGGATAAAACTCAGTTGACAAAGCCTTTCGTTTTCATTCTTTGTGATGGTATTATAAGTATCTGTTATCAGCACTGAGCTCAGGCAGGAGATAGGACATCCTCACAGATTGACTGTCAGGGATACCGGCACAGGTGACCCCACACCTGCGCAAGTACCCACACAGGCAGACCAAACACTTATGACCGCACCGGACAGGGCAGAATGTATTATATACGGTTTAATAAGCAGCAACACTAAACAACACCAAAAAGCAAACATAAATAAGTAACATCAACAAGACTACAAGAAGGTAATGGCAACATGAGGACAAGCAGGTAATGGCAACAGGAGGAAAGGCAGGTAATGGCAACAGGCGGTATCTAGGACTGCAAATGGGTAACCGGGCTCAGGACACAAACAGGGTTCAGGACTGGTAACAGGACTCTGGACGGAAAGCAGGGTTTACCGGAAATGGCGACAGAACTGGGGACTCAGGATTCACAAGAAACAATCAGGGTTCAAGTTTCAGGACAATCAGGAAACAATACTGAGCCATCGTCCTGACTGCAGGGAGGGTTTAAATAGCCATCACCTGGTGCTTCCTGGGAGGGTAAGTGCTGGGAGACACCCGCAGGTGAGCACTGGAACTGCAGGGCTAGCTCCAGCGCCACCTGGAGGCGCTCTGGATCCTAACAGTACTCTGGATCCTAACATTGACACTCATAATAAAATATTAGGTAACCCCTGAGGGGTAAGGCTGCACTATTATAAGATTACTACAAATGCATGCTAGTGATGTATTCTCTTTGCTGCTTTTAAGAACCTTTGCATTGGGACCAATTTAAAAAGCCAAGGGATTGGTGAACCATGACTGTTGCTGCATAAAAAACAAAAAAACATTGAACAGTTATAGTTCACAGCAATGTGCTTTATTGATGCGTTTATCCCTCCACCAGCTTTGGGAGTTTGAAGCTGGTAGAGCACTATCAAATGGCCGGGAGTTTGAACAGAAAAATAAGGGGAGGGGAGCCAAGCCATGTATCCTTTCAAACTTTCTTGACCATCTCCACCTCCAATCATGGGGCTCTCCTTGCTGTGTTTAGCAGTAGTGCAGGCTCTACCCCACTCCCTGCATTTTATGATTGGGCGGTAAAATGCAGGCTGATGTGTGGAATATAGCGCAGATTGATACTTCCCCTTATAAATGACCCCCATTAAAGTTTAGATGATGTAGATTGCACTGCATGAGAACAACACGGTATTACCAATAACTGATATTCAGTATAGTACGGAAACCCTAGAAAGAGAAAATAATTGTCAAATCAGCATGTGAAAGCGGAAGCGGAGGAGAAAGAAGAACTGCACTTAGGAAGCTTATTTATTCACAGAACAAGAGAAAAAAAAAATCTGTAGTCATGTTTTCCTTCTCTTGCACAAAACGTCTTCAACGTTCCTCTCCAGGTAAACTCATGAAGAACACAGCGGTCCTCAATGAAAGGTGAGCGGTTTGTTTGACTATTCTGTATAAGATAATAACAATGGTTGCATCGCTAGGAAAAGACCCACCTATGTCTTGTGTCTCTGCCTTCGGCCACCAGCTCCCAGATACAGGATTCCAAAAATTGTAGAAAGAGTTAAACTTTGTGCCAAATAAATTTGATAATGCGCTGTAAGTTGATCTTGTAGAAAATAAATAAATCATTTCTCTTGGGGGGAAAAAAAAACAACTTGATGCCAAACAAGATATCTCCAATTACTCAAACAAAACTCATACAACTGAGTGCAATTTATAGTCCGGTCCTCATAAACAGAATTGTATTGGAGAATGCAAAAAAGAGAACCTTTATTTTTTGATTGATTACAGGTATTTATATAGCGCCGACAATTTACGCAGCGCTTTTACAAAGTGTGCATATACATCAGTCCTGGCCCTCAAGGAGCTTACAATCTATGGTCTCTATCTCACATGCATACATACAAGGGCCAATTTAGACTGGAGCCAAATTTTACCTTCCAGCATGTCTTTGCAGGGCCGGTGCAAGGATTTTTGGCTACACAGGCGAAGGAGCATTTTTGCACCCCCTGCGCCCTCAGATGGCTACCTATGCACCGCACTTGTAGTCAATGAATTCTGCCTCCCATCCATATTAATACATGTCTGTAGCTCGGTGCGATCATGGATGGGAGTAGTGATCGACCGATACCATTTTTTCTAGACCGAGTACATCAGCCTCCTGTGACAGCTGTCAGGTTGGAGTACAAGCAGTCGGTGATCGCTGAGTGTTTGTAAATAATTGAGGTCAGAGTATGGTTACTGCAGTATATCCCCAATTATGAATGAATGGCAAGTGATCTATATCCACTCCTGTCCATTCATGATTGTGGTTATAGTAAACATACTCTGTCCTCATGTTATGAATGATCAGGAATAGGGTTGCACAGATACCAAGTACCGTGCTCGGTACAAGTACATGTACCGATACTTTTGAGCTCCAAGACTAGACTAGAGAAAAATTAAAAAGTTAGGCGGTCGCTGTCATTTGTAAGGAGCACACGGAGCTCCCGGGATTTGTACATCTCTGTTATAATGTACGATTTTGTGTTTTATAAATATAAATAAAGGGATGCACCAATACCAGTTTTGCGAGTACGAGTACTGGTACATTATTGTTTATTGTCATGTGACAGTTTTTCTAAAACAATACAGACTAATGATTTCAGGACAGTGGTGGAGTGCCAGAGCCAGGTCCCAGCTGCAACCGCTGCAACCCTGGTACTTCTCATGAAAATGCCAAGTATCTGCACTGGTACTAGAAGAGTATCTGTGCATCCCTAATCAGGAACACTCAGTATAGAGGATTCCTGTTTATTGATAACAGGGGACACAGAAAAAGAGATTGAGGACTTTGTGTCCTCAATCTTTTTTTCTATTTTAAAAGGGAAATATCAGGGGTCTGTTTAGATCCCCAATATTTCCCCCGAAGCCCCAAAAAGTAAAGTAAAAAATAAAAATATTTAATACAAATAAATAAAAATGAAATATAAAAAAATATAGTTTATACAAAATGTAAAAAATAAAATATTTAAAAAAAAAATTGGAAAAGGTTAGAAAAAAAATCATTTTTGGTGTCACTCATTTGGTCCTCCCGTAGAGATACTGAATGCAGTGTGGGGACACCCGTGCACGGTATCTCGGACAACCGGATTCCTGAAAGTTGTTAACAGATAGAATAATCTGTGCACGCTGCAATGGATATAGCGGCTCTGTAGAGCTAACGTATTAAATACTATGTGCTAACATCACTGATTGTCTATACTCCGAGAAACAACAACACCTGTAATGGATGTACCTGCTTTGCTTTTTGTATTCTTATATACCAATAAAAAATTTATTGAACAAAAAAAAAAAGATAGAATAATAAAAAAGCCCTCAATGTTTATGAGTACGGAAGAGCATGTGAGCACCCCCAGGATGCAGTGCACTTACCTGTGTGCCATCCCCCAGGCCCGAACACTGTCAACTGATAAGGAGGAGGAAGGCGTTAACCCTGTGTAAGCTTCAGCACCATCCAACATAGAGCTTATAAAAGTTTGGACTCTGAGCTCTGATGGTGGAACGAAGCAGCGAAGAAGCTCAGGGAAAGAATCGATTGGCTGGGCTGTTTTTCTTAGAGGAGAACTTGTGAATTGGCCTTTGTCTTTTTTTTTATTTTGTTTTACTATAACCCAAACACAGTAACCTATATTTTTTGGGTAAATAATATATTTAATGTTTTACAAAATATTTATTGCAATGTTATTTGTTCTTCTTTACTTACAGGCTTTAAAAACAGGACAACATGTCTTCTACTGAGGAAGCCTCGCAGACTTTAAGGCGTCTGAAAGATACATTTATAGAAATATTTGAAAAGAATGTGCATGGCTTGTTTGTTGTGCTAGACTCACTCGACCTTCTATGCTTGGAGGAATTCTTCAAGCTCTATGATGAGGATTGCCCCTTTAAAAGTGAGAAGATGATAGAAATTATAATTCAGAAGGGAGAGTCAGCTTCGAAAAAATTTCTGGACCACCTGGAGAAAATGATTGTTAGGTTCCCTGCGTTGTCCCGCTTGCCTCTCTTCCTTCAAGATGTTAAGTCAATTCCTAAAGTGTTTCTAAAACCAAAACCAAAAATTATTATATTGCAGGTTACCAGTCCTTAGATGTGGTGGCTCCACTTATTTTTTTTTATAGGATGTTTTTCTTTTTTATCACCTGGTGATCCTTCCAGTAACACATTCACCATACTGTATCTATAGAAGAGCAGCATTGTCACCTTAGGACTGGAAGTGTTTCAGAAGTACGGAATGCCTCCCTCTCTTCTCTTCTCCATAACATAGGGAGAGGTGTTTTGTAGGCCACAGAGATAGCTTGAAGCAATGCTAACCGATAACAGTTAGCAGAGGCCGAGATCACAGGACGTTATCATTTTACAAGATTAATTTAACTAAATGAAAAACAACAAGCCGCTGCGCTAGGAGTAATCACTCAGTGAAAGTGAACCAGCTGCAATAATGTGTGGTAGTGAATGAAATGTTGCTGTTATGTTGCGCTAGGTCCTGTGTAGCAATCTCACAAGGGATTAATGTTGTATCAACAACTGATCTCCTCCTTTAAATCCAAATGATCTATGACGCTATATAAATGGATTAAAAAAAGCAAAAAACAAATGTGTTGTGATCCTTATTAAACACGTGTATAATATTGCGCTATTATGTTGTGCTCAGTTTTGTAAACCAACTAAAAAACTCTACAAATAAAAAGTGAGTGTCAGCATCGTACCGCTACAGCGTTGCCAATTGTATTTGGGTGATAAAGTATAGTGCTGTATTGATGAATCTCGTGTAGCGGTCTGTGAAACCCTTATGTGCTAAAATGCTTGATTCCACTCTGTAACCTACATCTAGTGGTTTAAAGGGGTTCTAAACCCTGCGGTTTGTTATATCTAGTGCTAGCAAGCAGTAGATATAGGCAAGAAGTTTAAAAAAAAAACAAAAAAACGCTTGAACTAGTTTTAAACTTACCTCGTTATCCCTGCTCGCTCCCGCGCCGAGAATCAGGAACTGCTCGTACGGCCGCAAAGGATCTTGGGGCGGGCGCATGCGCAGTCCCGATTCTCGGCCGGGAGACGAGCAGAGACGCAAGGTAAGTCTATGGACGCGTGCACCCGCCTGCAGACACCGCTGGATCGGAGCGACAGAGCAGTCAGCGCTGGATCGGAGAGACGCCGCACCGCTGGAGGGACACATGAAAACATGGGGAAAGAAGATGAAGACCAGAATAAGAGACATCATTTAAGGTAAGTGCTAACATTTACATGGGGGGGAGGGGAAAAATAAATTTGCCTTTAATATTACTTTAACTACATACAAGCACTTGCATCCATAACGCTTTGTTATCCTTAGTGAATGTGACTACAAAAATAAATGTGATCAAGAGTTACATCCAAATGCTCCTTTCAAACATGTAAATTATCAAAACTTATCATGAATACATAAACATCAGGTGTATATTGCAAATTGGGAAGCCTTGCCCAGGATAACATGACACGATGTCAACACAAATAAATCTATTAGGCCTTGTTCACACCAAATGCAGAGCAGATCTGCATGAGTTTCTGCACACGCAGTGCAGTGGGTTGTGCCGCGTTTTTGCCGCATTTTTTTGCAGCGTTTTTGATGCGTTCTGGGCCGTTTTTGTAAAAAAAAAATATATATATTTTTTTTTAGTTTAAAATGGGCTTTCAGTGCGTTCCAGGCGTTTTTTGATGTGTTTTTGATGCGTTTTTGATGCGTTTGCACGTGTTCCAGAGCAGGTCCAGAGCAGGTCCAGAGCAGGTAAAATAGGGGCTGCTGCAGTTTTTTCAACTGCTCTGGACCTGCTCTGGAACGGAACACTGCGATGTGAACTGGAGCAAAAAATACTATTGGAATACATTGGATGCAGTTTTGATCCGGTCTGCAACTGATCTCATCTGCACCTGCTCCGCGCTTGGCGTGAACAAGGCCTTAACCGAGTGATCCTCTATTGAACCCGGCAGTGATTTTTTGAAAAGAAAGGGGGTAATTTTACTTCCCTTGTTTCAGAAGCATCGCATGAAAAAAAGGTTCTATTAGATTGTGTCCACAGTGTCCACCAACTAGAGTCCAAACGATCTTTCCTGTTATAATGATCGTCCTCTTCCACAGACGGGCTGGCTGTGCACCGCTCACTCAGTCCCCTCCGGTTAACTCTCTCCACGCCGTTTGGATAGCGGAGTCCACCCAATGGTGTCCCAAAGGGAAAGTTTAAAAAGGAAAAAAAGAGAAAAAAGAAAGCAAAGCCTCCTGAGTGCAGTATTTAAAATATTTATTCCAAAAAGTATATGGAAATGCACTTACAGGATCGCAAAGTTCAAAACACATTGAATGATAAAAATCCTCAGCGGTAAGAGATCAAAGCCAGTAACTCCCTTGACGCATTTCGCCTATGGACTTTTTCAAAAGGGTGTTCTTCTTTAGTCTCTCACCGGAATTTATGGTAAAAAAATCAATCTCTTTTTTTCCTTTTTAAACTTTCCCTTTGGGGCACCGTTGGGTGGAGTCCGCTATCCAAACGGCGTGGAGAGAGTTAACCGGAGGGGACTGTGTGCTGCCCCAATGGGGTATAGAATATGTTATTAGCATCATTAATAGATTAGAGTTTATATAGTGTGTTTGCCTATATATTTTCTCATAGCTAAATCTATGTTTTATTCTATGCTGCCATCTAGTGGCCTTTTGTTGTAATGTACATGTTTTTCTGTGATTCTTTGTGATGTCTACGATGTATTTCACTTTGTATGTATGCCCCTCCCTTCTTCCTGAGTGCAGTACTTCCTGTGTCATGGCCACAGCTACAGGCCACATGTAACTAGGACACATATACTCTGCGCAGTATGATAGACAAGGCATCATTTTCTGACCGCACAATACTATAACCATTCAACTGCTGTTCCTATCATCTGCTGTAATCCTGATGTTAAGAATAAACACCTCTTTTGAATGAATCGGTATTGACGAGTTCAGCTATCTGACAAGGATTGTCCGCAGTGTGTATATCTGCTTATACAGGCCAGGCATAGAGGTCTCAGCAAGAGATATATTGCTATCACAACGATCGGAGTCAGAATAGACTGAGTGCCAGCCCGTCTGTGGAAGAGGACAATTTTTTATAACAGGAAAGATCGTTTGGACTCTAGTTGGTGGACACTGTGGACACAATCTAATAGAACCTTTTTTTCATGCGATGCTTCTGAAACAAGGGAAGTAAAATTACCCCCTTTCTTTTCAAAAAATCACTGCCGGGTTCAATAGAGGATCACTCGGTTAATAGATTTATTTGTGTTGACATCGTGTCACGTCATCCTGGGAAAGGCTTCCCAATTTGCAATATACACCTGATGTTTATATATTCATATGTTTTGAGAATTTACATGTTTGAAAGGAGCATTTGGATGTAACACTTGATCACATTCATTTTTGTAGTCACATTCACTAAGGATAACAAAGCGTTATGGATGCAAGTGCTTGTATGTAGTTAAACCACTAGATGTAAGTTACAGAGTGGAATCAAGCATTTTAGCACATAAGGGTTTCACAGACCGCTGCACGAGATTCATCAATACAGCACTATAGTTTATCACCCAAATACAATTGGCAACGCTGTAGCGGTACGATGCTGACACTCACTTTTTATTTGTAGAGTTTTTTAGTTGGTTTACAAAACTGAGCACAACATAATAGCGCAATATTATACACGTGTTTAATAAGGATCACGATACATATGTTTTTTGCTTTTTTAATCCATTTATATAACGTCATAGATCATTTGGAATTAAAGGAGGAGATCAGTTGTTGATACATTTACGTCATTTTCAGGCCTAAAATGTGGAATATAACATGGGTGCAAAAATTGAAAAAAGGGCCTCAGTCATGAAGGGGTTAATCCCTTGTGAGATTGCTACACAACATAACAGCAACATATAATTTAACCAGTTCAGCTTTTTCACCCCTTTTACCTGCACATGAATGAAACAGAGTAAATGTGATTTAACAATAGCAAGCCATGTGCGTACGTTGTTTTTTTTAGGGCATGTGCCATACAACCAAAATTCTTAACTGCTTTTTCTAAATTGTGACAAAAAATACAAAATCGGCACTTTAATAACATCAGTATTTTGCTAAAAACACTTGCATTTTCTATCTTATGTAAATAATTGTACCTCAGCCTCCAAACGTTGATAATTCACCACCCCTTAATGGTTTGCCTATAGCAGTACATGGAGGTTTCACATCTTTAGAAGACTAACCTAGCCCCTAGTCATACAAAAGGCAAAATGGCTGATCTCTTAAAGTTTATGCAAAGCAACTTTTTTTTTTAAACCCCAGTCAGTTGTTTTTTTTCCACTCTGTGTTTCATTTCGGACATTTTCGTTTATTTCCTGTCCCGAAGATGCAACAGGAATTAAAAAGGAAATCTCTACAAAGTGAGGGGAATTCACCTCTAAGATAGTTGCCATCCCCAAAGTTGTCTGCATTGGAAGAGTCCCACTCACTAGCTGATATGGGGACACATGTAAAACTTCTTATCTCACTGACGACAATTGTCAGTAGGACAAAAAGAGAACCTTCTTAACAGGGACACAGGGCAATAAAAACAGAACAGGGGTTTTCAATTCTTCTCTACTCAATGAAAAAATAAAAGGTTTTGACTATACATTCTCTTTAAGGAGTATTCCCACCAAGGTCACAGACAGCAAAAAGAACCAGTGGAGGAACACTTTTTCAATATTTCCAGGGCATGTTTGGAACATTTTTGTTTGATAGATCCTAAACAGCAAAACAATGTGACAGTTTCTTAGATCTCCTGGGGCCTCTATTGGATTGCTCATTTCCTGGGTCGATTCTTTGCCAGGGCGATTATGAAGGGTTCCCAGTTCCACCATCCCTGCTGTGTTTCTAATTTACTATATATGATGGTGAATTCCGTGCAGTGGAAAACAAAGTGCCTCTAGTTAAAATTTGTATAAGCCTTATATTATAAAGTTCTACATTAGAAGACACTTTCATAGATGAGGCTTAATAACTATATCTATTTTAATACCTTTTCTTAGGTTCAGTGATAGTATTTATAAGACTGAATTCAGAGCATGCTATTTTGTGGAACTTTGCTGATTTTTTTTAAATTTATTTACAGACAAGAAGAAAAATGCATTTCAGGAACTTGTAGAACAGCTGGATATGAAAGATCATTTGACTTCTAAAGTGACTTCCTAAGCATTGGATTGGAAAATCTAGAAGAAATAGAACTCCACAATATTACAGAAATTCCATGGCACTTCTTGAGAAACATCATGGCTTTAAACATGTCCTCACGAAACACCCAGCTCAAAAGAGATCCAACTAGTCAAGAATTAGATGATGATGGTGACATTGATGATGATGATGATGATGATATATATAATGTACATACAGTTGAGCATGATACCACAAACACTATCCATCCATTGGATGTCCTGTGTGTCCTCCTGCACTGTTCAGATAGTTTTCTACAACAGGAGATTGTAACCAAAATGTCTATGTGTCAGTTTGCTGTCCCTCTGCTGCTCCCCCCAGCTAGTGATGGGTCACACCACACCCTCTTGCTGTGGGCAATGAGGGGCATTGTAAAGAAGTGGAGACCCCACTCATTATTGGACAGTAAAGGATTCAGAGAGGAAAATGTGGTGAATATCCCAATGCCCAATTTCTCTTTTGTGAGACTGGGGGAAAATAAATGATCCAAATCTAAAATTCTGAACCAGATTCTTAATCCAGCCCAACAACAGCACAACTTCTTCATCTCCCATGAAATGGAAGGGGGGAACATTAAGAGGAAAATATCTGATGGACTGGTGGAAATGTGCTGGTATTTTCCCTGTGGTAGTTCTGACGTTTTTCAAGAACCCATCTCAGTGGCCAACCTACGAGGAGACCTGGAGACCAACTGGGACCAGTTCATGTTTCTGACACGAGTGTCATCAGCTGTCTTCATATTTGTTGAGAGCATTTGTGAGACACAATTCAGACTGTTGTCTACCTGTAGCAACACTGACACTGAATTGTATTTCCTTATTACCCCAGGACCTGGCAAAGAGATTAACCAAGAAACCAAGAACTATTTAAAACATCTAATGAAAACATTAAATGTTGGTAAAAAACAATTCCTAGTCAAAAGTGACAAACTAAATGATGCTGCATTTGTGAAAATGATACAACGCATCCTTGAAAGCTTCATAGGCAAAGAGACACAACAGCCATTACAGAATATGAAAAAGCAAACACATGGGCTCCAGATAGATGTCGACGAGGACTTTCCTGGATGTCAAAAAGCAAGAGCATGCGCATGTGTTATTACCTCAGCAATAGGAGACGTGGAAGGGTATAAAAAAGAAATGCTGAAACTGCAAGGGGATCTGTGGAAACAATTGTCCAAAGTAGAGAAAGAACTTTGCAGAATGACAAACCAAGGTGACAAAGATGCCCAACAATATAAAAATGAACTGGAACAGAAACGTATAGCACTGCACAAAAAACAAAACGAGCATGATTTACCCAATCCTATAATGCTCTTTGTTACTGCAATCACTCATTTGTCTCAGGTGGAGAAACAATATTTTTTGAAGTGGATGAAATTAGAACTGGATACCATTGCTAGGAAGAATCTTACTGCCTTAAAGGTGGATTACCAAGAGAAAAGCAAGTCAAAAAATTCAGGGGTACTTAAGCTGGTTGACCAAAAAATATCTGACAGTTCTTTAGGGATTGAACATTTCATCCGTGAGTTTGGGCAGTTTTATGAGGCTGAATGTTCCATGCTTCAAGAAGGAATGATTTCAGAAGAAAGAGTACAGTTTACAAAACTTCCAGGAATTGCTGCTGACCTTCTCTTGGATGGGTTTCCATTGGAGCTCATAGATGGAGATGCCTCAAACATCCCCATGAAGTGGATAACCGATGTCTTGACTGAGTTAAGTAACAAGACACGAGGTGAAAGTGACGAGTTAAAAGGTAAAAGTGATACAAGTAATATAAGTAAAATAAGAGTAATGACTGTGCTGGGAGTGCAGAGTACAGGGAAGTCCACCCTTCTCAACACCATGTTTGGCCTGCAGTTTCCAGTGGCCAGTGGACGATGTACAAGAGGGGCATTCATGACTCTCCTAAAAGTGAAAAACAACTTTGAAAGACAGCTAGGCTGTAAATTCGTTATGGTGATTGACACTGAGGGGCTGAAAGCTCCAGAGTTGGCCTCTTTGGAGGATAGCTATGAACATGACAATGAACTGGCCACACTAGTGGTTGGGCTGAGTGATATCACCATTATCAATATGGCCATGGAGAACACCACAGAAATGAAGGATATTTTACAGATTGTGGTCCATGCTTTTCTTCGGATGAAGAAAGTAGGAAAGAAACCCAACTGCCAGTTTGTGCACCAGAATGTCAGTGATGTGTCTGCTCATGAAATGAACATGAGAGACCGGAAGAAACTTCTAGAACAGTTGGATGAAATGACCAGAGTGGCTGCAAAAATGGAGAGGCAAGAGGGAATCAAATCTTTCAGTGATGTGATAGACTATGACTTGGAAAAACACAGCTGGTACATTCCTGGTCTGTGGCAGGGGGTCCCTCCCATGGCTCCAGTAAACTCTGGTTACAGTGAAAATGTTCAAAAGCTAAAGAAGTTTTTATTTGAATTCATGAAAACCCAAAACACACCTTGTACCATATATGAGTTTATTGAATGGTTACAAAGCTTGTGGAAAGGTGTAAAACATGAAAAATTCATCTTTAGTTTCAAGAACTGTCTGGTAGCGGAAGCTTATAATAAGCTATCTATGCAGTTTTCCCTTTGGGAATGGGAATTCTCAAAAAAAGTCTACAACTTTGTCACCAGCACTGAAAATAATATAAAAAATCAGTCATCTGAGAGTCTGGATATGCAAAACCATGAAAAAAACAAGACAGAACTTCACCAACTGGCATTTGAGGAGGAAAATAAAATGCTGGATTTGATAGACAAATATTTTGACAGTAAGTCTGGAAATGTTCATCTGATAGAACGTTATAGGGAAGATTTCAGAATGAGTGCAAAGTTCCTAAGGCAAGAACTTGAAAGAAATGCTCTAAACAAATTTAGCAAGGCAGTTTCTATCCAGAAAGGGAAGTTTAAGATCCAGAAATCCAGAATCAATATCAAAAAGTAATAGAAAAAAAAATCAGTGGTCTCTTAGAAAGCGATAGAAAGAAAAAAGCTACGCTAAGTCCTGATAAAGTACAACAAGAATTTGAATCCATGTGGGAGAAGACATTGAGAGGTCTGGAGACAAACAAATTAGAGAGACGCAATATTGATCATGCAGTTTTACAGCAATTGAGACATGACCTGAGCAGTAGAGGATCCGCCGTACATGAAAAATGAAAGGGCATAAACAGTCTACAAGACCATGGTCAACAAACTTTTAAAATGGATGAGAAGTATATTGATCACACTTGGTGGAATCGTGTCAAGAACCAACTAGGCCTACACAGTGACACATTTGAAAGAGTAGAGAACTTTGCTGTCTCTCTAACAGGTATGTGCGACAAGTATGTTAAAGAAAAAGTTGATTCTTCTGATGATTACGATGACACTTACTGCCAAGAATTACTATACAAGATCAATGAACAGCTTGAAAGTACTACCAATCTTCACATTTCAAGAGATCTGGAGCTAGATATCAAACTGATCACTCTTGGAAATGCCGCTCAAAAATTTCAGCAACTGCATGATAACTTTACCAAAAATAATGACCCAATACATTGTCTGGAATGTTTGAAACCTCAATACTTGTCAACATTTCTCAGTATATTTCAAGAAAAAGGTGAAACCCAGCACAGAGCCAGGCAATTCTGTGAACGTTGTCTCAAACCAGCAATTACCGACTATGTCTTCAAACATCTCGGAGAAAAGATGGTGGATGACATCTTAAACAGCTCTGAAAATATTATATTCAGTAGCAGAAGCTTTTTTCAGTGTAAGATGCTGGAGCAGTTGTTGGAAGAAATGTCTTTCCAGAAGTACAAAGAATATATTCGTTCATATGAGAAATTTTCAGAATCGTGGATACTAAGTTACATCTCCAAAAAGTACAAGAGCTCAACCACATTAAAGGATTTATACAAAAGTATTGTCTCCTCCATAACGATGGAAATCCAAAGTGTACTTAAAGAGAAAGCATGCACAGAACTGCCTACGATCTCATCATTTTTAGAAAAAGTTTGCGAGATGTTACAAAGCAAACTGGTAATATCACAGAAGGAGATGAACGTTATCACATTCCATAACACGGTTTCAGTGGAGCAATTTTCATCTGACATTCAACATTTCCTCACAGAGACAGAAAAACAAATCTTAACCAAACTGGGATCTCTGGATATTGAGTCTGTCCTTTCCAAAGTGACACTGAAGCCTCAGGATGAATTGCTCAGGAAGGTGGTTGGATGTGGCAAGCAGTGTCCATTCTGTAAAGTCCCCTGTGAAGCCGGAGGTGGAAAACATGCTGATCATTTCGCATCTATCCACAGATCAACAGGATTGGGAAAATATAGATGGCACAAAGATAGAACTTTGTTAACAGACATCTGTTCCACTCTTGTTGTATCCAACAACAGTTTTATGAATTCAGACACAGAAGGGAACTGGCACCCATACAAAGAGTACCGTACACATTATTCAGACTGGACCATTCAGCCCGATCCCAGCGTTGAGTGCTCAGACTACTGGAAATACATATTCCTACAGTTTAATCAGCAATTTGCAGAAGAATATGATGCAAAACCAGCCAAGATTCCAGAAGAATGGGAGAAAATCACAGAGGTTCATGCTCTTAACAGCTTATTGCAGGTGTTCAACATGGACTAACATTGTAATATTCTTTACAGCCCTGATAATGCTGCAAAAACTGTCCACCTATGACATGTACCAAAACTGTTTCATTAACTTGGTATATGCTTTCAGTCTCTCATATAGATACCTACATCTAATGCCTTCTACCGTTTAACACTTCGATGCTTTGCTGAGGAAGCCTAGATCTTCATATCAGCACTTCATATGTCTTCATATCAGCACTTCATATGAGATCTTCATATCAGCACTTCATATGATGTCTTCATATCAGCACTTCATATGATGTCTTCATATCAGCACTTCATATGAGATCTTCATATCAGCACTTCATATGATGTCTTCATATCAGCACTTCATATGATGTCTTCATATCAGCACTTCATATGATATCTTCATATCAGCACTTCATATGATATCTTCATATCAGCACTTCATATGAGATCTTCATATCAGCCCTCTATACCACTGGTGTGGATCCAATGAAAGGACTCTGTTCTGACTACTGACACCTATCTAAGAATTGTTTTTTATTCTCAGCAAGTGGCAGCCATTTTGCACCTCCTTATCCACATACTGTCTCATGGGCTGTTAACACCTTGAACGTACCCCTGTTCAACATCATTGGGAATATGGATGAGCAAACTACATGTTCAGTAGACCCCTTTTTGCTTCATATTGTATAGGGAAATCAGCTCTACCCCCCTCATCTTTACTGAATACCCTGGAGTGTTGGCTCCCTGCTGCTCATGATGACTTTTAGTCGCTGCCAGAACTTCTTGAAAACTGGAAGATAACCACCACAGTTCAAATGTTTGGCAACTTTATGCAAGTGTAGAGCCAAAAGAAACCTCACTGCTCCAATTCCTTAGCCGCCATCAGGACTCCCAAGATGCTAATAGGTGCGTCTCCACCTTGGAATGTAGTAGTATACGAACAGAGCGCACTATCCAGAGAATTCCAATACTTCAGACTTTATTGAAATTCACAGCAAATCCAGTGTAACCAATAAAGTGAGAATACTGTTCACCTATTACATGCGCCAAAATGGGTTCTCCAGCTTGGTGTAATCTTTCATCCTCTTAAAGAGATGGTCACAGCAACTACCTTGTACTCTAAAGAAGATCTCCAAGATTTTCAAAAGTTAACCCCTTGCACGGGGGCTGCCCCAGCACTGTAAGAGTTAACTGCTCATTTTGGCCTAGGGAATGGAATAAAGAAGATATACTCACCTGATCCTCAACCCTGCTGTGGTCAGCACTCGGGTCTCTCTCCTTCTGCTCCTCACTGTGGTGGTGTGTCCCCGAGTGTCCTCACGTCTAATGCAAGTGAATGGACCCAGTAAGTATATTTTCTTTATTGGTGCCCCCTTAACTCTTGCAGTGTGGGGGTAGCCCACACATATGTATGAACAGAATAGAATAGAATAGAAAACTTTTATTATTATTGCACAAAATACAATGACATGTCAATGAACCAATTCCTTAATGACAACACATCACAATTGAATAAAATAATTTGTCGTTTAATATACTGTATATAATTAATACACCAATCAACCCTATGAACCTTTCCATGAAATGATTCACCTCTAAAAAACCAATCATCTTATGTGTATTTTATCTGTGTATTTAGTTGATTGCCTTAAGTTCAGCTTTAATGCTGAGACAATAATACATATATATTAAAACAAACATTATAAGATGAGAATACATTACATTTTGTAATAGAATGCATTTTAATTTTTTGTTTTAGTCACTTAATAATGACACAATTGTATTTACTATAAGTTTATGACAAGACACTGTAGTTGTGATTTTCAGAATCCTTTTAAACTGATACAAAATAAAATCTGTTTAAACTTTTTTTTGAGGAGCCATTTATAATTTTTTTAAATAAAATTGTCTATCTATCTATCTATCTATTATGTGTAGTAGCAGGCTGAGCACCGATCACATGAGCGCTGTGCACACAGGAGACGGCAGATCTGGCCGAGGGACTGGTACGTTAACGAATGCTAAGGATCTATGTGAGGGGGATTAGGTGCCGTTGCCTGCAGGGTGGGGGTCGCTATATTATCAGATTTGTTTGCCCGGCTCGATGCTGATTGGCTGGGAAGCCGGCTTCCCGGCCAGTCAGCATCGAGACGGTCAAACCGCATGGAGCCAGCTTCCCGGGTCCATCTTTCCTCGCGGCACTGCCGGTCAGAGGAAATCTCCCTCTGACCGTAAGTTCTATTATTGGGAAAGGTATCGGAGCATTTGGGCGAGTACGAGTACTCACCCAAATACTCGGTATCGACACCGATACCGATACTAGTATCGGCGCATCCTTATTATTTACAAATAAAAGCTATTCAAATTGATAAATTAAAATGAATTATACAGGCAGTCCCCGGGTTACGAACAAGTTAGGACTTTAGGTTTGTACTTAAGTTGAATTTGTATGTAAGTTGGAACAGGTACATTTTTAAGTGTAACTCCAGCCAAAACAATGTTTTTTTTTGGTTTTGGATAGCATGGGGAATGGTTAACCCTCTGTAAAGTTTGCTTTGCTGTGCGTGCCCCTGTTCAGAAGATTTTACCTCACTTTCTGTCCGGGTGACAATTGGATTTTGAAAATTTTGGGTTGTCGTGGAGCGCGGTCATGGTATATCGTGATATTTGGGGAATTTTGCACAAATGGTGAGCGCGCAAAGACCAATCTTGAAGCCAATTTAACATAAAACAGGACAGACGTTTGTTTCGTTCATCAACACAACAATGACTTTCTTCAGTAGCAACATAAGGTTCGCTTGTATTTCAGCAAGTAGACAATGTCTCACCGACTCAAGATTGTCGCACATACTCCATGTGTAACTGGCTCTTTAAGCCTCCTCGGCTGTCTTCCCTGTTTCTCCAGCAAACACAGCCACCTGGCTCCCCTCTGACCTCTTGGTGGAGTCCTCCTGACTCCTGAACACAACCTGTCCCTCTTCCCAGCTGGAGCCCAGAGCATTAGTCGCACCCTTCCCATAAGTGCTATGCACAGGTGTGCAATCATTAGAAGCTGGCCCCTAGTACACCACGGACCCAGGAATGAAGATTTCATCCCTCCCAATTCTCTTAGAAATCTCCCAGTTCCAGGATCCCATGCCAAATGCACAACATTTGGAGAGAACTGCAAAGCCAGTTCTTTCCCAGCAAAAGATTGTGTTTCCTGGAACCACTCAACCCCTCTGGCTGAGAGTCCTGGGTGACTACAACACCCAGTTCTACTGTGGGATTGCCACACAATACTACAATCTGTAAAAAATAAGTCAAGGCAACATGGCACAGCATAGAAGAGCCAAACCCCCTGGTCAGGAATCAGCAGTGTACCTACATCTAACCTACATCTAAAGCCTTGGTTCTCAACTGGTGGGTCGTGAGTCACGGGGTCGCGAATGGCCCCTTGACCCACGGCCGCTGCCACCTGCACCCGGCCGGCCGCCATCTGCCTCACGCGCACTGCCCACATCCACGATCGGCAAAGGGACGCGGGGAGATGAAGTAAGGAGGAGTGGGTGTGAGGGGATGACAGCCGCTGACAGATTGTCCCGATCCCAGAAGCAAGTTGCTGGAAGACTGCTCAGGTAAGCCTGGACTTCCCCCCCCACATGGTGCTCTATAATGTATTGCTGGGATAGTGGGATTTGTAGTCCTCTGTAGCTGATGGTATATTGCGCTGTACTGTATATTATACCATCAGCTATAGAGGACTACAAATCCCAGCAATTTAGTCCTCTATAGCTGATGGTATTCTGCATTGTTGTGTAATGTATTGCTTGGAATTGTAGTTCTCTATAGCCAATGCCATTCTGCAATGCTGTACAATGTATTTCTGAGTTAGTGGCAGAACTACCAGGGTCGCAGCATTCGTACACGCGCACAGCCCTGACGTGGCATCCCTCCACTACCAGTGTGCTTTACATTTCCTAAACCGATAAATACATTCACACTACTGTTACATGGATGGCAAAAGTGGCAGACAGGGGCGGGGAAGAGGCAGAGCGGGAGGGGGGCCAAGTTGCTGCACCATGGGCCTCTGGGTTGTACTTGCCCCCTGGGCTATAAGTTGCCAGTCAGCCCCTGACTGGACCCCAGGCTGAGGACCCACTCCAGTTCTTGTAAGGTAGGGAGACTGGGTGGACCTTAAAATAAAAAAGTTTTGAATTGTGTGTGTGTGTGTGAGAGAGAATGTCTGTGTCTGTGTGAGATTGTGTCTGTGTATGTATGTCTGTGTTTTTGAGGGGCCGTTCACACTAGTACACTGCATTAAACTGTACCACGCAAATCGCACCTACCGTGCATGCTGGTGTGGGAGGTGTGTTGGGTTGCCATTCATTTGAATGGTACCCCAAATGCACCTCCCACCCACCGTTCGTATGCCCGCAGCGGAGCGCCCAGTACCCTAATGCCGTGCATTCGATTGCAGTGCGACTTAATGACTAAGGACAAATGTGGAGCCTGAGGTTACACAGGTTGAGTACCACTGTTCTAAAGGAAGAAGGTCACTCCTTTGAATATAGTCAAGTACGCATCCTAGCCAGGGAGGAGGACTGGTTTAAAAGAGGTGTGAAATAATCAATTTATGTAACAATGGAGGAATCAAGCTTGAATA